AACTGCATTAATATTCTAATGTCCCACCCGCTTTGACACGCCCCTGAACTGCATTAATATTCTAATGTCCCACCCGCTTTGACACGCCCCTGAACTGCATTAATATTCTAATGTCCCACCCGCTTTGACACGCCCCTGAACTGCATTAATATTCTAATGTCCCACCCGCTTTGACACGCCCCTGAACTGCATTAATATTCTAATGTCCCACCCGCTTTGACACGCCCCTGAACTGCATTAATATTCTAATGTCCCACCCGCTTTGACACGCCCCTGAACTGCATTAATATTCTAATGTCCCACCCGCTTTGACACGCCCCTGAACTGCATTAATATTCTAATGTCCCATCCGCTTTGACACGCCCCTGAACTGCATTAATATTCTAATGTCCCACCCGCTTCGACACCGCAGATTAAGTTCACCAACTATTTCAGAAAAACATAAGAGCATATTACGCACCACACGCACTTACTATTACGCACCACACGCACTTACTATTACGCACCACACGCACTTACTATTACGCACCACACGCACTTACTATTACGCACCACACGCACTTACTATTAGGCACCACACGCACTTACTATTAGGCACCACACGCACTTACTATTACGCACCACACGCACTTACTATTACGCACCACACGCACTTACTATTACGCACCACACGCACTTACTATTACGCACCACACGCACTTACTATTACGCACCACACGCACTTACTATTACGCACCACACGCACTTACTATTACGCACCACACGCACTTACTATTACGCACCACACGCACTTACTATTACGCACCACACGCACTTACTATTAGGCACCACACGCACTTACGATAGTTTTACGAATCTCATTTAGTGCAATTCTATGTCGTGAAATCATCCTCCCCTTGAAAAACTGAATTTTGGGGGTGGAGGCTGAAAGTTTGATAGAATACGTTGTCATGGACAACGCGTCTTTATGCCAAGTTTCAGCTCGTTAAGTTGACGGGAAGTGGGTCAATTAGCCGCCCGAAGATTTTTTTCCACCCAGCCAGAAAGAAACACACGAACACAAGCGAAGTCAATAAAAAAGCAAAAACAAAAGCTAAGCATGCGTATGAACTCGTTGTGCTTATCTTTAAGATGACACATACATTTTGGCCCACCTCAGCTTATATAGACAATGTTCTGACTTGAGCGCATCAACATTTGGCGTGTAAGCGGAGACGCGCAATTTACTTATTAAATAACAAAGCTTATGGTATATAAAAATATATACACCACCACAAGTTGCATTGCCAACACCCACAAAACCCACACACAATACCCCTAAAAACATCACCTCGCACCATGACAAACACACAAATTTCACACATTTCTCCCACACACACACACATACCCCCTCCAACCTCCCCCACCCCAAACAAACATCATTAACCCCACACAATACACCAATCCACAACACCCCCCTCCCACAGAACTTCTCCACACACATAAAACTCTGCATTCACACTCCCTTTTGGGGGTAAGGTGTAAGGGGGGGGGGCGCTTTTGTCTTTAACTGGGTATGTTTTCTATTTCTCACATGGTTTAAAACTAAAACACAACTTCATAATCACAATAAGATGGTTGTTAAGACTGTTGTTAAGATAGTTGATAAGGTTGTACATACCGGGTATGTAAAATTCGATCTCCCGGTTACCACCTCCCTAACATAATAATTTTTAAAATTTAAAAAAAAAACAAAAAACATCTAAATTAAATAAAACTTATTTATCAAGAGGCTTCATTGAATGAATCAAAATATGGTTTAAGAGGCTTCATTGAATGAATCAAAATATGGTTTAAGAGGCTTCATTGAATGAATCAAAATAAAGTTTAAGAGGCTTCATTGAATGAATCAAAATATAGTTTAAGAGGCTTCATTGAATGAATCAAAATATGGTTTAAGAGGCTTCATTGAATGAATCAAAATATGGTTTAAGAGGCTTCATTGAATGAATCAAAATATGGTTTAAGAGGCTTCATTGAATGAATCAAAATATGGTTTAAGAGGCTTCATTGAATGAATCAAAATATGGTTTAAGAGGCTTCATTGAATGAATCAAAATATAGTTTAAGAGGCTTCATTGAATGAATCAAAATATGGTTTAAGAGGCTTCATTGAATGAATCAAAATATAGTTTAAGAGGCTTCATTGAATGAATCAAAATATAGTTTAAGAGGCTTCGTTGAATGAATCAAAATATGGTTTAAGAGGCTTCATTGAATGAATCAAAATATGGTTTAAGAGGCTTCATTGAATGAATCAAAATATAGTTTAGGAGGCTTCTTTGAATGAATCAAAATATAGTTTAAGAGGCTTCATTGAATGAATCAAAATATAGTTTAAGAGGCTTCATTGAATGAATCAAAATATAGTTTAAGAGGCTTCATTGAATGAATCAAAATATAGTTTAAGAGGCTTCTTTGAATGAATCAAAATATAGTTTAAGAGGCTTCTTTGAATGAATCAAAATATAGTTTAAGAGGCTTCATTGAATGAATCAAAATATAGTTTAAGAGGCTTCATTGAATGAATCAAAATATAGTGTTTATTCTATAACTAATAAATGCTTATTGATAAAAGAAGAGGACATTTTTATTAGTTCACCTCTCGAGACACATAGAGTTATATTGACGTCTGTGCAACTCCAGCCGATTAATACCATTCGGGTCCATTAGTGGAACACTTTGGTATTCGGATACCTCACAGGTCCTAATGTTATACCATTAGTGGAACACTTTGGTATTCGGATACCTCACAGGTCCTAATGTTATACCATTAGTGGAACACTTTGGTATTCGGATACCTTACAGATCTTAACTATTTAGAGAACTGCATTTAAGTTTTTGGTCATAACAGTTGATCAAAAATATTATACAATTTTATTGATCATTGCTTTAAAAAAGCATTTTTATAATTTCTCCACGATTTGAAACACAGAATATGCCCCTTGCCTGTTTCTCAGTTATCTGGACATCTCGTTCGCTGTATATTATAGTATACCGTTATCCTGACCTTGCGAGATGCGGGTCACACACAATCCTGTAAATGATGTGTATTGTAGAAAAGTGATGGTATCTCTCTGTGGATGATGTAACCATTAAACTGACCGCTGGGCCAATTCACTATAAAAGCGACAGGGGAGCGAAGTCACGTATACCCCAGTTCTCACCTGCCAACCGGAAGAAATCTGAAATTTTTTAGTGGACAGAATGAAGGTAAGGACACTTTGGTTTACAGATGATTTAGTTGACAAGGGATGTAACGGCATGTTGGCTTAGAGATTATTTTAGTCGATACAATGAAAGTAAAGACACTCTGGTTTTGAAATTATACAATGCATAAAATGACTGTATAACTCTTTATCTTTGAGACCAATAAGGCACTGAAAATAATACCCAGCCATTCAGGAGGAGTCTTCACGCTTGGTACAAACTGTTTCTCTAGACTTAAGACAGTGCCAAGTATGCAATGAATAATTGTCTGTCAAGATGATGATCTTGAAAACATGGCTGTTACAGTGTTAATGTACCGGTTATAATATTAATAACAAAACTGCGTAGTCGTTTAAGCTCAATACTATTTTCAATACCGCTATAATCTTGAAGAAAAAAATTCTTCACAAAATAACAAACCAATTAAATGCCTCCCTCCCCCAACCCCCACCCCCCAAAAAAAAAAAACAAACAAAAAACAAACAAAAAACAAACCCCCAGACACTTTGATGCAGAGTTTTTGAAGACGGACATACTGCAGAGGGCGGCAAAGCAGACATTCTAATCAATATGATTTAATGAGCAAGAGGGAAGATTCTTGCCCACCGATGCTTTCATTAAAATAATAGATGCTTTGCTAACTATGAGTGTATCGTTTCCCGACTCCAGATTTTGATAAGGGCATCATTAGCGTGGACCATGCTCTTCTGGCTGATGGCAGAGAGCCAGGGTCAGTTGGACGAGACCCTGAAAGCCATCGGTACGTCCCTGGAGACCCTGCGTGGCGACCTTAAGTACAAGGATCAGGTTGTGGGGCTCCTGGCCAAGCAGATCATGATGAACAGGTTCCAGGATGAAGAGCGGTGAGAGTCACGTGATAACGTCTGAATGTCCAATAACGCAACGGCCTTCGAAACGAACATCCTTCGTTGAAAATATGTTTGACCATTGTTATCATCGCTACTATCATCGCTGTCGTGATCGTCATTATCGTCTTTGTATCATCGTCGCTGTCATCAATTTTCGTTCTGCACTTCTGTACATGTCTTGACGTTTACTCTTTGTCCAAAGTCTCACTGCAGCTCTCCATTGTAAGATTTAGCCATGGGAACAAGACAGCTCTCCATTGTAAGATTTAGCCACGGGGGAAATCTCTCCACTGTAAGATTTAGCCATGGGGGCAAGACAGCTCTCCATTATAAGATTTAGCCCTGGGGGCAAGACAGCTCTCCATTGTAAACTTTAGCAAAGGGGGCAAGACAGCTCTCCATTGTAAGATTTAGCCCTCGGGGCAAGACTCTCTCCATTGTAAGATTTAGCCATGGGGGCAAGACAGCTCTCCATTTTAAGATATAGCCATCGGTGCAAGACAGCTCTCCATTTTAAGATTTAGCCATGTGGGTAAGACTTAGATGGGATGCTTAGAAAAATCAAAAGACGGTAAGACAAAGGAGCATGATTCAAACGTTAAAGAAGACAAATGACGGGCTGCGTGTGAAGTAAATAAAAAAGTGGAAGGAGATATGTTTAGGCTTGAAAAGAAAAGATAGAACACTTCCAAAAGGACGTTGCTGATACCTCATCTTTCTACCACTTCTCTCGCTCACCACTGCCCCTGTGCAATAAAACATCTTTACCTTATGGGTTCGTGTAGTCTTATATCGATCCTAGCAGTTCCTTCTATGTCTCCACCTCTCTTATTTGTTCTCGAGGGTGAACACTACTTGCCTCCCGTTTATTTTTTCACCCTCAGAGTGCGATCTGAAGGGGACTCTGGCATCGTTATGGTACGCAACTATCTCCGCGGTACGGCCAACTATCACACGTCGACTCACACCGGCTTTGGGTTTGCTGCCATCCACGACCACAGCCTGACCCCAGTTACACTAGGCATGGGCGAGGTACGTTGGTTACTTTTAAGAGCAGAGGCGTCCCGTGGGCCCCTGATGTTGCAGGGTGCTTTGGATGTTTCAGGAGCTTTCGATGCAAAGGGAGAAAAAAAAACCACCCGAAAAGTAAGAAAGGGCCTCTAAAAGTCACGCGATGGGTCTGAAGAGTTCTATAAGTCAAACAGCAATTTCTTAAAATTGATTTTGACATAAATAAATATAAATAAAGAAAACTATCAAAGAAAAAAAAAATATATTTCTTATTTATACACCCATTATTACATTTTCTAATTTAAAAAGTCAAAAAGATTCTATACACATCCTCTCATTATTACAATCCTCCATCCATGTTGACATAACAACATCGTAACATAATCCCAGATATGTTAACAAAATACGGTTCTCAACATGTCACAATATTTAGTGTGTAGTGTAAAAAAAATTACCAGTTACAGCTGACTAATCTCCCCCCTGAACCCGCTATCCCAGGTGACAGCTGTTCTGAATGGCGTCCACTTCCGGACATCCCACAACGATTACGACATCAGAAGACCAAGCAACTCGTCCAAGGCATGGCTGGAGACGGAGCCCATACCCCCACCACCCGTGCCTGAGTCTGTACTGAACATGACGACAGTGCAGGTAACCTACTTACAGCAGCTATTGGAGTACCACTACACTCTGGTCTAACACTCAGACATGAGGTTGTATCATCCATACCACAGACACGATTGTATCACCAATACCTCAGGCATATGTTTGTATCACCGATGCCGATATCTCAGGCATATGATTGTATCACCGATCTAGCTCTGCCCCCTGACAAGTGCCATGTTTGCCCCCCCCCCCCGTGCGGGCCTGATCTTCCAGGAGTCAGAATGACAAGATGCTCACATGCAGTTCTGATTTATCTATTCCAGTCTTTTGCCAAACCAAAAAAGCCATTCGAAACTCGATAAGGAATTATTCATTTCAGATCCGGAAGAGTGGGGGTAGGGGGCGATTCTGTAAAAAAAAAACAACAACGGGGTAGGTGTGACATCATCAGTTTACCGCACCGGGAGTTTTAATTTAAAATACTTATCCACAGGATGTCAATGGTTTTAATTTAAAATACTTATCCAAAGGATGTCAATGGTTTTAATTTAAAATACTTATCCACAGGATGTCAATGGTTTTAATTTAAAATACTTATCCAAAGGATGTCAATGGTTTTAATTTAAAATACTTATCCACAGGATGTCAATGGTTTTAATTTAAAATATTTATCCAAAGGATGTCAATGGTTTTAATTTAAAATACTTATCCAAAGGATGTCAATGGTTTTAATTTAAAATACTTATCCAAAGGATGTCAATGGTTTTAATTTAAAATACTTATCCAAAGGATGTCAATGGTTTTAATTTAAAATACTTATCCACAGGATGTCAATGGTTTTAATTTAAAATACTTATCCACAGGATGTCAATGGTTTTAATTTAAAATATTTATCCAAAGGATGTCAATGGTTTTAATTTAAAATACTTATCCACAGGATGTCAATGGTTTTAATTTAAAATACTTATCCAAAGGATGTCAATGGTTTTAATTTAAAATATTTATCCAAAGGATGTCAATGGTTTTAATTTAAAATACTTATCCAAAGGATGTCAATGGTTTTAATTTAAAATACTTATCCACAGGATGTCAATGGTTTTAATTTAAAATACTTATCCACAGGATGTCAATGGTTTTAATTTAAAATATTTATCCAAAGGATGTCAATGGTTTTAATTTAAAATACTTATCCACAGGATGTCAATGGTTTTAATTTAAAATACTTATCCAAAGGATGTCAATGGTTTTAATTTAAAATATTTATCCAAAGGATGTCAATGGTTTTAATTTAAAATACTTATCCAAAGGATGTCAATGGTTTTAATTTAAAATACTTATCCACAGGATGTCAATGGTTTTAATTTAAAATACTTATCCACAGGATGTCAATGGTTTTAATTTAAAATATTTATCCAAAGGATGTCAATGGTTTTAATTTAAAATACTTATCCAAAGGATGTCAATGGTTTTAATTTAAAATACTTATCCAAAGGATGTCAATGGTTTTAATTTAAAATACTTATCCAAAGGATGTCAATGGTTTTAATTTAAAATACTTATCCACAGGATGTCAATGGTTTTAATTTAAAATACTTATCCAAAGGATGTCAATGGTTTTAATTTAAAATACTTATCCACAGGATGTCAATGGTTTTAATTTAAAATACTTATCCAAAGGATGTCAATGGTTTTAATTTAAAATAATTATCCACAGGATGTCAATGGTTTTAATATAAAATAATTATCCACAGGATGTCAATGGTTTTAATTTAAAATATTTATCCAAAGGATGTCAATGGTTTTAATTTAAAATAATTATCCACAGGATGTCAGTGGTTTTAATATAAAATAATTATCCACAGGATGTCAGTGGTTTTAATATAAAATAATTATCCAAAGGATGTCAATGGTTTTAATTTAAAATAATTATCCACAGGATGTCAATGGTTTTAATATAAAATAATTATCCACAGGATATCAATCAATGGTTTTAATTTAAAATACTTATCCGCAGGATCAAATTGCCGAGATGCGCCAATATTTCCTGGCCTTCCAGACACAGAACTCCAGTCTCAGGGACTATCGGCCTTTCTTCAAGCCTGTCTTGTGCTACTTGGAGGGAACCTGGCTTGTGAACGCAACAACCGCTGCTAACATGGACAACAATGAGAAGGTGATGCAAGAGGATTTTAACAAAAAAATTAAATAAAAGAATAGTGAAGTTAATCCGGTTGAGATAAAAAGATTGACAAAGGTCTAATTTGGAAACGGGGTTGATCTTAACACATGACCTAAACCAACCAATCGCCGTTGAGATGAATCTGTCTAGTTTTGAAGCTGTATACACCATCATTGGCGTAGCTAGGGTGGCCAGGGCCCTGGTGCCAGATATTTTATTAGGTTTTTTTAAAATTTTGATATGCTCGGGCCCCTTTTAGGCTTTGGCCGCTGGTGCAATGGCACCACCTGCACCATTGTAGCTACGCAAATGTACACCACAATGGTTTAACGTCAATGTACAAACACTTAACATTCTCGACAAGCTTCTAACTGTAACTTTCTTTCAATGTCATGTGACATATTCTCAAGGGAGTGACGAAAGCGTATACATTAGGAGTGGGGACATTATTGCATAAGAACATTATTTTAAGCACACTATTGTAGGACCATTATTAATGCGATTGACACTGCGTCGCCCATGTTCTTTCAGGCCCGTTCTGAGGCCTACTGACACTGTGTCGCCCATGCTCTTTCAGGCCCGTACTGAGGCCTACTGACACTGTGTCGCCCATGTTCTTTCAGGCCCGTACTGAGGCCTACTGACACTGTGTCGCCCATGTTCTTTCAGACCCGTACTGAGGCCTACTGACACTGTGTCGCCCATGTTCTTTCAGGCCCGTACTGAGGCCTACTGACACTGTGTCGCCCATGTTCTTTCAGGCCCGTACTGAAGCCTACCTGAACTGTGTCGCCCATGTTCTTTCAGGCCCGTACTGAGGCCTACTGACACTGTGTCGCCCATGTTCTTTCAGGCCCGTACTGAGGCCTACTGACACTGTGTCGCCCATGTTCTTTCAGGCCCGTACTGAAGCCTACCTGGGCTCCGTCACCGCCACAAATCAGCCGGTGTCCAGTCTGCCAACTACAATCATAGGTGTCGACGACGTGACCAACGAGCCCATCCTGGCCCAGTGGATGTACAGAACCCTGTGTTACCCCACTGACGACATTCCGACGTCATATTTCTTAAAGGTGAGTTTTTTCAATTTAAAATTTATTTATATTAATCACAAAATTTAGTTGAATAAGGAAAAAATATGTATCAATAGTTTATGTATAAACTACAATCAAACCACGTTTGTCATACCTCTGGATCTGTTGATAATTATCGGGTTATACCTCTGGATCAGTTGATAATTATCGGGTCATACCTCTGGATCAGTTGATAATTATCGGGTCATACCTCTGGATCTGTTGATAATTATCGGGTCATACCTCTGGATCTGTTGATAATTATCGGGTCATATCTCTGGATCAGTTGATAATTATCGGGTTATACCTCTGGATCTGTTGATGTTTATAAAATAGTACAATAAACACATCTCTCACCAACCCTTGGATAAAGTCGTCAGTTAGTATCCTAATGCTTATCCCCCGGCCCCTAGGATGTGCAGAGTGCGAATAGATGCCATACTCAAGGGGGGATTTATAATTGAACGCCTGGGGTGCCTTTGTTCACAGAGCACGACGGGTTTGGGAAATACCTTCAACACGACATTATGTCATGGCCGCTGACTGCGATCGATTCCTAGTTTATTTTATCACGACGAATTTGGGTTTTATTTTCTACTGCTCTGCCGAGGAAGGCTTTCTGTTGATACGTGGACTGTTGTACTTCACTTCAAATTGCACCCCGGGCTTTCTGATCGGAGAGCGAGTTATGAGGCAGCTTAACTACCCGTATGTAGCCATGATTCCCAAATGTTTTATAAAAAAATATTACCTCTGTTTTAAGTTCATTAATTGTGTCTATTCTGATAATCCAGGTGGATGAACTCGCTTACCGTTATCCACGGAACCTTTCCTTGACAGCCACGTCAACAACTAGAGGCAGCCATTTTGTCCTGGATGACAAACTAACCGAAGGGTAAAACATAAAAAAGGAAATTTTACTCTTAGTAATGGGAAAGGTATTAAAAAGCACCCGACTATTACCGAAACATATTATGTCTGACTCTGATAAATTGTGTCTACGAAGGAGATGACCGGAATGAGGGAAGGATAGCTAGGGCATACTATTATTTTATACATGGGCACAACTTTTATCAATATCTGGTCAACAGCAAATTTGTTGACATCCCCATTCATTTCATTATTATTATTATAATATGTTGTTTTATATATATATATCATAGCCGTTGACTGCGATCAAGTCCTAGTTTATTTGATCTCGACAAATTCGGTTTTTATTTTCTACTGCTTTGCTGGTGAAGGCTTTCTGTCGATACGTGGACTGTTGTACTTCATACTATTTCATACTATTTCATAGTAAACCGTTGATCGGCCAGGGCCTTGTCTTTCCGACGAGAGTCAATGTTGAAATACACTTAAGGTCTGTTGTGCATTGATGTATTTCTTTTATGTACTCCCCGTATGGTCGGTAGTACGTTGCAGTTTTCACTGTTTTCCCCACCACGCGCTAAACCAATGAGAACATAAAATTGATGAATAATATCACATACCAGGATTTTTACAAATTATAAATGTCATTGCAGTTACCGTGGCTACTCTTTTCTCGACCGTCTGGTGGCCAAGATCCCAGGCCTGGACAACACTCCCGGGATTCTGAAAGAAAAGGAGCTCGGTCTGAGGGACGTGAAATTCGCCGATTACAGTGGCGTCCTTAACCTTGGCTACTACAACAGACAGTATGCGGACTACTATGACGCCATGGGGAAAACGGTACATTTTTTGATAACAGTTGAAAGGTTGCAGGAGAGGAGTCTTTGACGCCCTGAGACAACGTGTCTTTTACGCCTGGGGTAGCGGAGTTGCCACCAGTGCCATAATTTACCATCATTAACGCAAACACGTCAGAAAGAGATAATTCAGTGACACCTTGGCATGATGTGGCAATTTTTTAAAAGGCCAAGCAAAGACAACTCACCGAATTCATGCGTTTGTTTTCCTTTTCAATACTGTCTAGGGCAGCGGTTCTCAACCTGTGGGTCGCGACCCCTTTGGGGGTCGCGGGACCCTTTTCCAGGGGTCGCCTAAGACCATCTGAAAACACTTTTCCTTACAGCTTTAAAGTAGCAACGAAAATAATTGTATGGCTGGAGGTCGCCACGACACGAGAAACTGTATTAAAAGGTCGCGGCACTAGGAAGGTTGAGAACCACTGGTCTAGGGTAAAAGCTCTATCCTATAACTAAAAATATGAGAGTACTGACAGATTTATAGCCGACATTTCATTTTAAGCTAATAAATCATCAACCCTAACCTTTAAAAAATAGACCAGTCAATCACCGACCTTAAGCTAGTCCATACAGAAATAGACCAATGAATCACTTCCCTAAGCTAGTCCATACAGAAATAGACCAATGAATCACTTCCCTAAGCTATAGTCCATACAGAAATAGACCAATCAATCCCTAACCCTAAGCTATATTCCATACAGAAATGGACCAATAGCTATTGGAATAACTAATCAAATAAAAGCCCAAATTCTCTCCTCTCACCATGCCAGATAATCAACCGAGGATTTAGTGATGCCAACATGTTTGTGGCACTGACAACCCAGCCCCAGGTGGCGCCACTGCTGCTCAGCCAATGCACAAGCCCTATGAAGTGCGTCACCAAGAGACGAGACATCAAGGCCAGCTGGATGATGCCCCTTGAGATCGTCTACCTGACACCTCTGCTCAGATGGAACCCGTACGCCATACCATTTGGTGTGAGTGTATTAGAATAACACATGGCGTATCTTATGGTGGGAGTGGGTTAGAACAACATAGGACATATTTAATGGTGTGAGTGTGTTAGATTAACATAGGACATATCTTATGGTGGGAGTGTGTTAGAATAGCATATAACATATCTTATGGTGTGTGTGTGTGTGTGTTAGATTAACATATGACATATCTTATGAATGGAAGTGTGTTAGATTAACACACGGCATATCTTATGGTGGAAGTGTGTTAGAATAGCATATGACACACGTTATGGTGTCAGTGTGAAATTGTTATGAAATCTACCATGTAAGTGTAACTTGCATGTGGCTTTCACTATGGTGTAAGTATGAGAATAGCATTTAGCACATCTCCTAGTGTAAGTGTGAGGATGGGATATAACATTTCATGGTGTAAGTGTGAGAACAGCATGTAATGCAGCTCGCAATGTGTTTTTGAGAATACTATTTAGCACATCTCATATTGTAAGTGTGAGGATGGGATATAACATTTCATGGTGTAAGTGTGAGAACAGCATGTAATGCAGCTCGCAATGTGTTTTTGAGAATACTATTTAGCACATCTCCTATTGTAAGTGTGAGAATAGCATAAGACACATCTCATCATTTATGTGTGAGAATAATATGTAGCCCATCTCAATGGTGTTAGTGTGTGACACATTGAACATCTTTATATATCTCTCTCCCCCCCCCTCTCTCTCTCTCTCTCTCTCTCTCTCTCTCTCTCTCTCTCTCTCTCTCTCTCTCTCTCTCTCTCTCTCTCTCTCTCTCCACTTTAGCTTTCAACCCATCCGCTCCATTCTCGTTGTAAAAATAAAATGTATCCAATGAACTGAAGATTGAAATGGAATCACTAGACAAGAATTAGTTTCTGATTTGACATCATCCCCTGTCGCCGGAAGCTAAACTCAGTTCTCAGTTCCCAATTCAGATTTTAACCGTTTGTGTGCAGTTGAATCTTCAGAGGTTCCCTCATAGATCTGATTGACGTACTTTTGGTGTTCCAGTCCCCACAGTCTGTGCTGACGGCCTCTGGCAGAACTGGGCAGACCTCTACCAATGCGTTAAACGGGTCAAACGAGCAATCGTTCACCTGGACCCCGGCAGAGTTCTTCACAACCCCGACCCCCGAGAACCCGGACGCGGCAGATACGAATCCGGCATTTAAATGGGTCATGGATGGTCAGGTAAGAGGACAGGTTCGTGGGGTAACAGGTTGTCAGGTAAGAGGACAGGTTCGTGAGGTAACAGGTTGTCAGGTAAGAGGACAGGTTCGTAAGGTAACAGGTTGTCAGGTAAGAGGACAGGTTCGTGAGGAACATGTTATGGGTGGTCAGGTAAGAGGACCGGTTCGGTGGGTAACAGGTGGTCAGGTAAGAGGACAGGTTCGTGAGGTAACAGGTTGTCAGGTAAGAGGACAGGTTCGTAAGGTAACAGGTTGTCAGGTAAGAGGACAGGTTCGTGAGGAACATGTTGTCAGGTAAGAGGACAGGTTCGTTAGGTAACGGGTTGTCAGGTAAGAGGACAGGTTCGTGAGGTAACAGGTTGTCAGGTAAGAGGACATGTTCGTTAGGTAACAGGTTGTCAGGTAAGAGGACAGGTTCGTTAGGTAACGAGTTGTCAGGTAAGAGGACCGGTTCGTGAGGTAACAGGTTGTCAGGTAAGAGGACAGGTTCGTTAGGAAATGGGTTGTCAGGTAAGAGGACAGGTTCGTGAGGTAACGGGTTGTCAGGTAAGAGGACAGGTTCGTTAGGTAACAGGTTGTCGGGTAAGAGGACAGGTTATATAGGTAACAGGTTGTCCGGTAAGAGGACAGGTTTGTTAGGTAACAGGTTGTCAGGTAAGAGGACAGGTACTTTGGGATCATGCATGGTCAGGTAAGATAAAAGTCACGCTAGCGTATTGGGTAGTCGGGTAAGATGAAATGTTAAATGGTATAATTGATAATGGGTTGCCAGATAAGATAATGATGATATAGTTGCGGTAATAAAATTATTCAGCTAATGGATGCGACAAATGCAACATTTCTTTAAATTGCACCTTGAAAGCTATTCATTTCCCCACAGAATCAAACGTTCCTGATGGCACCAAGTGGCACCCGCATCGTCCTGCCTGCTATAGCCGGAGTGGGGAGCGTCAGACTCAGATACCCCATTGCCCCCATCCACGGGGAGGGAAGCTCGGTCTGGAAGGAACTTAACGCCCTCAAGAGTCATCTCGCCATGCAGATATCAAAGCTCTCCCAGGCATTTAATTGAAAAGATAATGTCATAGGTCTTGGACATGGTATCAAGAAAACTCATCATTTCATAGACATGGCATCAAGAAAACTCATCATTTCATAAACATAGCATCAAGAAAACTCATCATTTCATATACATAGCATGAAGAAAACTCATTGTTTCATACAAGAAAAAACAAATCAAAAGAGTTCATCTTTTTACAGACATAACGCCAAAAAAAAGTAATATAAAAAATAGCATTATCATAAGCCATCCAATACTAACGATATATTTTCATATTGTTCAGCGGCTAGTGCTTAGATCATCTCAATGTTTTAGTTGTACTCGTTCGTATTTTATTGGATCACGGAAGTATTTTACTACGTTTAATGTATACGTTTGATCTTCTTCCTGAATTATTATAATGATATTTATATGTCAGGCTTGTTTGTATATGACATGTCAATAAATCCATTCAAACTAATTGACCTCAATAAAAAAGAAATTGAAAACAGAGAAACATTTTTTTTTTACATTAATTTGTTTAAATTTAAAATTGTCCTTTCCTGGTTTTCAAATCTGCAAACTTGTCAAACACTTGATCAAAAGCAATTTCCTTTACCGTATCACTTTCAACTGATAGTAGAGCCAGATCAGAAAGTTGACTGTCCCATGATGGATTGTAAATAGTTCTTGATAAGCCTTAGTTTTGAAAATCTCCGCTCACATCAAGCCACAGACAAACAGCACATAAGAAACAATTGAAGGCTTGCCGTGAGTCTTGGTAGTGATTCTAGGAAGTTCCATTCAGCCATGAATTTCAAAACATCAAATACTGACCAGTCCTAGATTTTGTGAAATTCCATATCAGCTGCCTTTAGTGTCTTCTAAGCCTAGGTTTTTCTTCTAAAATTTTATCATCTGATAACTCATCATAGAAAGATGTTAATTTTGGAACGGACACCAATAACTCTTCTTCACTTGCTGGTACTAGACTATTGGGTTGAACAGCCCCAAACATATCTGCTACTTCCTTAATCACTGATGACCTGATATGGAGTTCAGAATGAAAGCGATCAATACACTCCAGCATCTCCTCCTGTTTCACAGAAAGAGTCCAGCATCTATTAATTGTTCTCCTGCCATTCTCTTCTTCAACCTTACTCTTCTCTCTACCGATATTCCACATTGGTCTGATTTTAAAAGTGCCTTTTCAATAGCATGTTCCACCAAGTGACGGCGCTTCTCGTGCAGAAACAATCTTAAGGCCCCTAGGTTGGTCATCACAATGTCATGAATAAAGCCTTTAGTCTGCAGACACTGCTTTGTAAGATTAACTTCCTCAAGTAGATCAGCCCAAGGGTAAAGGTATCAGGTAAACGTGAAATCACAAACAGCATGTAAAGGACCTTGTGCTGTACCTCTTGTATCCAAATTTTCAAGAGGATTACACAGAGCTTCAATCACCGCCACAAATTCATCAAACTCACCTTTCACTGCTTGAACATCAGCATGATGAGCACTCCAACGCGTTGTTGACATTCTTTTCAACAACATTCCAGTGTGTTCAATTAAAACATCCAATCTTCTTCTTCTATATCTTAAGGGCCCACGATCAATTTATTGATCATTTTGGCTCCTATGCACGTAGAGGGGATTTGCAATGTTTCTGTTCCTGGTGTTGATGAGGACATTTCACTGATTTCCAGTGCCACTTTGTGAGGGAATCATGCACTGGGGGTTTGAAGGCTTGAGGCAATAGACACAAATGTGTCTAGTGTTGTCGCCTCAACTGTTCCATTTGAAAGCTTATTCCAGTCCCTGATTGTCTTGGGCAGGAAGGAGCAGCCCCTTAACTGGCTTCTTGCTGATATGAGCCTGAATTTCCTGTCATGGCCTCGTCGCTGTCTATGGGGGAGAGGGACGAGTTTCTGTTTAATACTGGAACAGTGGACCAGCCCATTATTTATCGTGTACATCAGGGAAAGCCTGGATTGTCGTCGTCGTTCCTCCAATGGTGACCAGCCCAGTGTTTCCAGCATGCTGCCAACACTAGAGGTATTCTGGTAGTGATTCAGGACAAAGCATGCTGCTCGTCGCTGGACCGCCTCCAACCTGTCAATGCTCTTCTGGGTAAATGGGTCCCAGACTGAAGATGCATAATCTAAAACCGGATGGACAAAGGCTTTATATGCTCTTTATTTCACACAGGAGTTGCCAATCTTTAGACTACGCCTTAAGAACCCCAGGGTCTTGTTTGCTTGGTTACATACATTGTTAATATGCTCGTCCCAGCCGACCTCTCTTTGAATGGTAACACCCAGGTACTTTACGGAGCAAAGTGGCTCAAGTATATGGCCGTGCAGTTCGTATTGGTAGTGTAGAGGATTACAACTTCTAGAGACTGATAGTGTCTGGCACTTGGCAGGGTGAAATTCCATGTCCCAGCTCATCTCCCACTCAGCTAACAGATTGAGATCCTGTTGTAGCTAGTCCTGGTCAGATCTGTTGGCGATCGTCTTATATACACCGCTGTGTCATCTGTGAACATTCTTGCTTGTGATGTCAGTTTCTTGGGTAGGTCATTAATGTATGCTAGGAACAAACAGGGGCCCAGCACTGATCCCTGGGGGACCCCTGACCTCACATCAACAAAGGAGGAGCTTGTACCGTCCACCACTACTGCTTGGCATCGGTGTTTGAGGAAGCTAGAGATCCATGTTTTAGTGGTGCCTTGAATCCCATATCTCTGGAGTTTGTGTAGAAGCAAACTATGATTCACCCAGTCAAATGCTTTTGCGAAGTCCATTACTAGCACGTCAGTCTGCTTGTGGTTCTCCAGGTTGGTCATCAGGTCCTCTACAAATTCAAGAAGCTGGGTCTCACATGATCTATTGACTCGGAAGCCATTTTGACAGTCATTGATTATATGTTGGCTTTCAAGATGCTTCATGACTGTGCTGACGATTATGTGCTCCAACAATTTGCAGACCACGCTGGTGAGGGATATCGATGATTGATTGCAGCAAAAAAGTAAAACATTATTTCAAAAGTCACGAAAAAATAAAGTACATGAAGAATTTTCTGTAAAAGAATGTTTACCACACAAGTTAAGTGAATGGTCAACACATCCATTAAAAATTTTTTTATTATTTCTTTTCAGAATTGGCTCAACACCTCCATGGATTCCAGACATTGTGACAGCATTATCGTAACCTTGAGCTCTGAACATCAGTTTGCCTAGTCCATCATGCTTTAGTTTGTAAGAATTTCAGAATTGAGGTCATCAGCTTTTTTCCCCTCTTAACGGGAAAAATGCAATAAACACTTTTCTCACTTCAGCTTTCCCATTGTGGATTTTCACATATCTGATCACTTAAGACATCTGGTATAGCATAGGCATAGCAGCCTTTTTATCAATGATAAGAATCGCCTTCACATGATTTGCAAGGAGGTTTATAAATTTATTTTTTAGTTTCTGGTGAAAGGTAAGATGCGGATGCTTTTTCTGAGATGTAGGCTACTCCTCTTTAGTTTTATTCGGTGCTTTTTTTAGCATTGGATCATATTTAGATAGCATCTCAACCATTTCAAGAAGTTTCAGTGAAGATTCACCTTCGTTGTGACCACGAAATGCCAGATTTTGCTTTGCAAGAAACAATATGATATCCAGCGACCTGTGCAGGAGATCCCTCTCACTTTTTCTTCTCCGTCACAGAAATACTTTCGGCAGCAATTGTTTTGTGTATCCTAAGTCCTGCTGCCAATGCTTTCGACTTTTCAAGGCAACATAGGTGCTCTTCCGATGCTTCATGATTTTGTAATTTTGGGCTCAGTTTCCAACCCTCATCAAAGCCAGTAAAAATTTGGATGTTGTTTCTGTAACATTAACAGCAAACAATCTGCAGTAAAAACAATACAATTTCTGACCGACGAGTGAATAAACCATCCACGACCGCAGTATTTTCTTTTCATTTTGCATCATCCCGTAGATCCATTGTTTTGTTAGTTGGCGAACACCTCCTTTAGATTTCGCATTTTGCCTTGTCACTACGCTGAATACTCCGCCCTTGTTCTAGAACAAGGTGTTCCATATTTTAATAATTTCAGACAGAAACTAATCTGGAACTGGTACATTCCAGAGAGAAGCATCTGATGAAATATGCCAGTTTTTTTTTTCATTAACCATTGCACTTACAATGGTTTAGTTCGAATCAACATTATCGGCAGACATTTCTGTTTCCAAACCATCCATGTCTTTCACTTGTGTTTTCACGTCAATCTCTTCCATTTTCTCCACTATTTGCTGAAAAGAATGCATGCCGCTAGTGTCGGTAGAATCAGTATCAACGGTGGGCTGAGGAAAGTCTTTTGATGAACCATGGCCCTGATCCTGGTCATCATTTTGTTTCTTAATATCGAAGCATGTATTCTGGTAGTGATTTTAGTGAGTCGCTTATTTTCTTCATTTTTTTGTGTGTTGCTTTTCACTGCTGACCTTGGCCATTTAGATTTGTGCACGTCGTGTGGCAGGATTCAATAATCTTGAACAATAAAAATGCTTTAATTTTGTCTTGTTCAAGACAACAAACAACATTATTACTGACGATAGTTCAAAAACAACAGTCGGAGGACTGTCCAAAATACAACACATAAAGGTAGCAGGTAAAACCCAGCTGTCGAAATATGACAATCGTGCGCAAATGTTAAGGGGCGGTACTAGTGACGAATCGGGGAAAATATTGATTTTTAAGTATTTCTTTGTTTCGATATGTAGATATTAATATTATATATTATGTCTTCAAAAACTTTTCTTTATTTAAATTTAAATACATAAGAATGAATCATCAAGTGATTGCAAATTGTGTAAATTAATATATTTTTAACCCTATAAATGTGTAAAGATTCATTTTTAATGTTTTTATTTTTTTACCGATTCTTATTGATTATTGAATCGATCGACCACACCGTATTTGGCATCAATGGAAAGCCCTATTTCTCAGAATTTAGATAAATATAGACTCCTGTCACTTACGGAACTTACCGAACACTTCAATCAGCGTGGAATAATGACGTGTTTTTCTGACCTAAAAATAGGGTTAACTCATTTCTTACGCATCAAACCTTAAACTTTTAATAAA